CACTTTTTTCTTTTTAGTTAATTTAAAAAAAAAAGCACAAGGTTCAAACCCGCTAGCTGTTCTTCAGGAGAAAGAGATGCGGTCTCCTCCCGCACCATTTACAGCCTCTGAGGCTAATGATGAGTTGGTTCTGATTTGGATAAAGGCGGTTGAGGTGCATTTGCATTTAACTATGTAGTAGGTCTATTCGGAGCTCTGGAGGCCATATAGACTTGAAGGCAGTGGGTTTGCATTTTGGTTTTTGAGGACCTAAATTCCTGTTAAGACACTTAAATCACCATGATTACTAGTACAATGCAGTGTGTGTGTATGTATAAGATTTTTGAAAATTCCTTAATGTCACTTAAACTCTCCACGAAGCAGATTGGCACTCCTACCCACCTTTGTCTCCCAGTCATGTTATGTGGCAGGTCGTTAGCTGTAGGAATTAGACAAAAAGTTGAATTTTCTACGTCAAGAAGACATTTTTGCTTCTGAATGTGTTTGATGAGTTGTTGTTGTTGTTGTTGTGTACCATCGAATCGAAACTGACCCATAGCTGACACTCCAGTGGGTTTTCAGAAGCGGATCATTCATGGCACAGGAAGAGATTGTCCATTTTTCTCCTGCAGAGCAGCTGGTGGATTTGAACTGCATGCCTTCAGGATTGCAGCACGGCTTCTTGCCACTAGGCCACAGCACTCCCTTGTGTTCAATGAGACTACTCCTAATTCCTGGTCCAATGTCAGTCATCTCCCCGTCCTCCTGTTTCGAGCAGTAAGCTTCAAGTTGGGTCCCACCTCCTGTCAGAGAGACGGGAAGACCATACCCAGGGCCCAGGGTCTTGGGTGCTTTTAAAGATAAGCCCTTTTCAGATCCTCGACGTGCACAGTTTCTCTTGTTGCAATGCATCTGCCTAAGATTACCTACCTGTGATAAGGACCCCCTCTGCCCCACTGTGAAACTAACCATTCCCTTCAAAACCATGCCTCGCAAACCTCCTTGCACTCTTCCTGTTATGCCTCGATGTGCTTTTCAAAACCTATGCAGCACCAAACAACGAGGCCACTTGCAATATGGATTTTGATGTTAAGTGAGCCATGCAGAACCGAGACTGGTGGGAGTTATGTGGGAGAATGGCCATCTCCTGTGTGGCATTGCTAGACTGAGGCAGACAAATAAGAAAAGTCTAGTAATCTGCTTCTGAAAATCAGCCGGGGAAATTCCGTGGTTCAGGTGGAAACCCATCATGGTTAGACGCGGGTCTCGGCATTGTTTCTGTCGTGCATGGAGTCACTGTCAGTGGGTCCAACATGATGGCAGTAGATAACAGTTGGAGGGCAAATACAGGACTCCAGTGAGTTGATGAAACAATATTTTCTAAGTCTAGTGGTTTCCAAATTTTTTCCCTTAGAGCAAAATTTCAGGAGGATTTAAATGTTGTGTCAGCTACTAGAAAATGAAAAATAATTTTTGATGATAGATCACTATGTGATTCCTGGCTTGTAACTGAGAAGGGGGTCACAGGATTGGATAACAGTGCTATAACAAAACTCTTTCCATACCCATTAATTTATTTATGGAGAGAAGGTTTCTTGGCATATAAATTTTTAAAAATGAAAAACAGGAATAGAATTGATATTAATATTGAGCTTTAAGTCATGCTGGTAATAAATAATATTCACCCACAGATTACATGAAGTAAGTGGGAAAACACCCAGTCTCCCCTGCATTCTTCTGGAACTGTAAGAGGTTCATTTCCAGGAAAATTTTACTCCTGAGTAATAATTATTTATCAAAATTCATGGTATCTTATGTTATTAGCAATTGTCCCAAAATAACTGTAATTATAACTCAATCAGAAAAAAAATGTAATATTTAGAGATTATATTCACAGACGTATGAATAAGGAAGTTGGACAATGAATAAGGAGGACGGAAGAAAAATTGATGGCTTTGAATTGTGGTGTTGGCGAGGAATCTTAACTATACTAGGAACTGCCAAATAGAACAAATAAATCAGTCTTGGCAGAAGTGCAGCCAGAGTGCTCCTGAGAGGCGAGGACGTTGAGACTTCATCTCGCATAGTTGGGGCATGTTGTCAGGGGGGTCAGTCCCTGGAGATGGACACTGTGCTGGGAAAAGCGGAAGGTCAGAGAAGGAGAGGAAGACCCTCAACAAGACAGATTGGCAACAGTGACGGCAACGACGGGCTTAGCACAGCGTGGATTGTGAGGCTGGCCCAGGACCAGGAAGGGCCTCAATCACTCTGCGTAGTATTGCTGCGAGTTGGAGCAAAGCAACACCTAACAGTAACAACAGGGAAATTCTGGAAATCCAAAGTCTCTGTGAACTTTCATTAAAATCAATTTAAAATTAAAAAACAAAACAAAACAAAAAACTCCAAGGAAATTAGTGAAATAACGAAATGTCAATTTTTCATGCGCACAGCTGTATGATGAGATAATCGAGAAGATATTTTCTACATTGAATTCATCACATTTGGGTAAAAGTACATTGTTGTTGTTGTCGAGTCGGGACGGGCTCAGAGCTGACTCTGCAGTGAGTTTTCTGAGGCAGGAAATAGCACGGGTGCAGTCTGCCCGTCTTTCTCCTGAGGAGCAGCTGCTGGATTCAAACCGCCTGCCTTTGGGTTGGCAGTGCAAAAAAGAAATACGATGCCACATTTTAGACTGTTCAGGAACCTGCTCGCTGCTGAGGTTGGTGGCAAGCAGCGGAGACATTGTGTAGAGCAACCTCTCTGCCCAGTCCTCTGTGACCGTTGACACCTCTGAGCGCGTTGTTGAAGCTCTTACACCAGTCCTCTTCTCTGGAAGTTTCTCTCAACTTTGCTGCCCCTCTCCTTCTCCAAACATGACGCTCTTCTCTAGTGACTGGTCTTTCCTGTTACTAAGGAAAGTCCAAAGTGAGCGAGACAGGGTCTCACCATCCTGGTTTTGAAGGTACAACCTGATTGCCATCTTTCTAAGAATTAAGTGATAATTCTTCTGGCAGTGTGTGATGTGTTTATTCTTCTTCACCAGCTATCTGTTCTGTCCTCTTTTGCGATGTCCAACTTCTGGGCTCATTTGAAGAGACTGAAAACACTATGACTTGAGTCAAGTTATATGTTGGTATCAAAGCACTGAGATTTTAAGGTTCTAAATATATATAAAATAAAATTTATAGGTGATTGCTATGATGCTAAACACTGTGACAATGAGGTGCCAAATGTAATAATGGTGACCCATGGAGGACAGTGTTTGGTGGAGCTTCCCGACTAAAACAAGCTTGGAAGCAGGAGTGGCATCCACTTCAGAAATGGCTTGTCTCCGGAAACTTTATGAACAGTGCTCAGGTCTTTTGTTGATAGGGTCGTTGTGAGTTGTCTATGACTCAATGGCACCTAACAACACCACCACCAACAATGTGTATACTTAAAAGAATGAAGTAAAAGATTTTATCAAGTTCAGGCCATCACACACTTTGCAGTTATGTAAACAGAAAAGGACAGTTTTCTATGTTAGTATGAACATGTCTAGAGACGATTGATCTATACATGGGGCAAATTGTTTCAGGTAAAAAAGTCCTGATATCGGTATGTGTCTTCTGTTTTCCCAGTTTAACCTCGTGTGTGTCAACGCTTGGATGCTGGACTTCACCCAGGCTGTCCTGAACCTTGGCTTCCTGGCAGGAGCATTCACCTTGGGCTATGCGGCAGACAGGTGGGTATGAACATGCCAGCAAATTCTATACCATGAAAACACACCTTTGTCTTAGTTCTCCAGTGCTGTCATACCTGAAATGGCACAGTGGGTGATTTTAATGGACGGATGTTTACTTTTGTCATTCAGGAGGTTGGAAGTCCAAAGTCAGAGTACTGGCTCTAGGGGAAAGCTCTCTGGAGAAAAATCCTTGTCTCAGTTTGTCAGGTAGTCTCGGTATTCCTTGGATCTCCCCATGGCATATCTTTCTCCCCATTTGCCTCTCTGCCCTGTATCTTTTATATCTCAAAAGTGGGTAGCATTAAGGCACTTCTATCTTTTTAGGGCCTCATTAATATAACAAGGAAGGCTCTGTCCTCAAGTGAGATTACAGCCACAGTATTCCTCAGATTAGGATTCTAACACATTTTGGTGGAACACAAATTGAGATGAAGATGTTTTGTGCTAAATATTAGAAGTCATTTTGCTAGATTTGGGAAAAAAATTCTTTCTGCCATTCCTTGTATCTGCATTTGTGGGACTTGACTGTTTTCCTTCTTAAATGTCACCTTCATCTTCTGCCTGTCCAAAGAGACGATGCTATCGTCAGAGAACGTGAAAACACAGATCTCTAGGAGGGGTGTTGGTGACTGTGAATCGCTGCAGAATTGATTATAAGTGTCGACTAGATACCAGCTCCCTGGTTCTGGTGTGTTTCACTTAGTCACAGTGCCACAGTCTTCAGGTTTGCACATCCCAAATGGGTTGCACTTTTTTCTTTTTAGTTAATTTAAAAAAAAAAAGAAGTTCTTTTTCTTTATTCTATGAACTTAGACCTCTGCTGGGGAAAAAATTTTCCTCAAAAAAGTTATTAAAGGAATTTTATCTATTATTTAACAATGCTAAATATCACTGTTGACGGCAGACATAGTGGAAATGTGCACACAGTTTGTGGCTCTTTAGTAAATATTTTGTGTGGTTAGATTGCACATACATTGCTGTGTTCCTGTTTTGGAACATGTGTTGCTGTGTTCCTGTTTTTGAACATGTGTTGCTGTGTTCCTGTCCTACCTTATTCTTCTCTTCCAGTTTTAATGATCTGGTCATTTCCCCACATCTGAGCACAGGGATGGACGTCTCGGGCCCTCAGTCCTGTGTGGTTGGTTTCATGTTCCTCTGCTCACTCCTGTCCCCCTTTGGTGGGTCAAGACGACTATGCCACATGGTGATAATGCTAAGGGCATCCGTAGAGAACCGTGAACAGCAACTCATTAAATCAGTAAAGACAAGATCACAATTAGACAGAGTTAGACGCTGTCTTCTTTAGCTTGCCTCCAAGATGGGGAAACCCTTCACCAAGTTCATGTGCAGGAAGGACTTTCATCCTGCCTTCAAATCCAATATCATGGCAGAACAGGACATATCAAATGATAAGAAGATACAAGAAGAATTAATGCAACAGTATCTCAGAGAACAAGAATCTTATGATAACAGACTCCTTCTGGGAGATGAACATGCGAAGAATGACCTTAACTTCATGTATGAGGCCCCACCAGGAGCTAAAGAAGAAAACGAAGAGAAAGAAAAAGCAGAAAAAGAGACTGAATACAAATCTGAATGACAGAAGGGGCTCCAGGAGAAAAAAATATGTCCAAGAAGACATCAACATCAGAGATCAACCATTTGGTATTCAGGTTCAAAATGTGAGATGCATTAAATGTCACAAATGGGATCACGTCAATATGGATTGAGATTGTCCTCTGTTTTGGTCTTTCTGGAATCAGTGCAAGTTCAGTGCCGACTGTTGGCTCAGGGCCTTCGATGCCCCGTAGGAGCTGATAGCGGAGATGAGAAACAGCGGATTTGCACTGGCATGAGAGGTGCTGGGGAGAAACAGGATCACAAACGACCCATCACAGGAATGGGTGGCAGGTGAAGGTGAACAAGATCCCCAAGTGGAACTTCTAAAGTCACTAACAACCAAACAAAATCAGAAACTTCTCAGAAAACTGGATCAACTTGAGAAGGAAAATGAAAAAAAAAAAAAAGATAGAAAAAAGAAAAGGCTTCAGAAGAGCAGAAGTAAACAAAAAACATAAAAACAAATCGTCCTCATCATCCTCTTCCTCTTCCAGCGAGACCTCAGAGCGCAGCAGTGAGAGTGAGAGATAACAAAGAAAAGAAAAAAACATAGAAGAAAAGGAAAAGTACGTGTACTCTCCATAACAGGAGTGATTTTGAAGAGAAAGACATCTCACCTGTCACTTTCTCTAAAGAAAGATAAATGTAAGAAGAAAAAGCCTTATGAAGAACTGTCTAGTAGTCGCAGTAACAAGAAAAAAGACAGGGAACTGCCTGAGTTTTTGAAACGAGAGAGTTCTGGGAAGAATAACAAAAGGAACCATTCTGATTCTGACAAAAATTCCAAAAGCCGTAACTACAGCCCAAACAAGAGAGGGTCTGAAAGAAATGAGAGGAAAAGCAGACGCCAAAGCCTGGATGAGAGGAGTAGGAGAAGCCAAAGCCAGTCATGGGAGTGATAAACAGATTACAAAGTGGACACAGCGAAGCCGCAGGGACAGAGCACACAGAAGAAATGACCCCAGGAGTCAGGGCCCAGACACATGCACAGGAGACAGGGTGCACAGGAGAGCCCAGGAGGCGAGCGAAGTCCAGAGAAAAGAGACACTGTGTGGGAGGACTGAAAAGGAAAGTATTTCCACTCACTGGAGAGCTTCCTATAAGGACTGAATGCTATTGTCTTTTTCATGAAAAAACTCTCTTCATTTTCCATCTCTATACACAGCCATTTCAAGTACACAACTACGTGAATACCATAAGAATGAATTTCGCAGGTATTTGTAAGTAATCTGTCTTGAGACTGTGGAAATATTCTATGTTGGTAAATGTATTTTGTGCCCTGTACTAGACTGAAAACCCCAGTTAACCATATGACATTTTATTTGTCCTGAAGTATTAAAAGAATGGCAGTATATGCATTTGCTATAATTTTTCAAAATTTAGATTTATTTGAAGGTATAAACTTGCTTGAAGGAAAGCGTTAATCATTGACATTCACTAGTGTGAATTAAAGAATTGATCAGTATTCCTTTGAGATTAAAAAAAAACAAACCCCAAATTAGCTAATTAGAGAGGTGAGTCCAACCACTTGAACTTCACCGTGGGCGGGAGCTGGTGGACCCCTTTCTTTGTTTCTTGCTGTTCTCATTTTTTTCTTCCCCTTCCCCACAATTCTGCATCTGAATTTTTTCCCTCTCTTTTTTTGTTTAATGTTCCCCCATGTCCTCTCTCTGTGCCTTTTCCTACCATTTCTATTTCTAGCCCTTTCAAGCTTCATTTTTCCTTCTTAATCCCCCTCATCTGTCACTTTGTCTATGAAATCGCTACATTTGGAACTGAACTATGCATTTAAGATCTCTATTTATTTTATTTTATTTTTACTCCATTACTTTAAAAGTAGGTTTTGTGGCTTTTCCATTTCTCTCTTACACCATCAAGAACCATGTCTCTAGACTAAATGAACTCAGATGACGGAGGGGAATTTCCCCTTCTCTGTCCTATGACTGCACTGAGCAAAGACCTCAGAGATGACTGATGCTTTTTTGGGGGGGGGAGTGAGGGGAGACGTGGGAGAAAACACAGCCATGGATAATTCTGCCTCCTGCCAGGGTTGTTGACCTTCTCTCAGCTCCTTCTCAGCTCGCACATCTGTAATCTACATCCTTGAAGAAAAAGACAATACATAACTTACCAAGTCATAGATCTCTGAAAAAGCAGTGTGGGAATGGCAGAGGATAAATGAGAAATCCAAATCATATAAGGCTGCTTTTATCTCTTTCCATGATTGAAACAAGGTGATGTGTGCCTGTGAATTTTACGGAGATTTCTATGGAAAATGTCACAGAATCAAATATCTGTAGTGGATGAGTCTTCACCAGCGAATAACTGATACAACAACAAAATTAATCATTAGACTCTCCAAATAGTGGGCATGAGACCCAATTGCTGTTCCTGAACATCATCATCATCATCATCATCATCATAATAATAATAATAATAATATAAACTTAAAATTAAGAGCTCTTTCCATTGGCTTTGAACTGCACCATTTTAAAATGGTACAGTTGCTATAACCTAGCTGAGGAGGAGGGGGAGGAACCCCGAGTATCTGTAGAAGAGGGCAGCTCACACGAGGACAGCGGCTCACACGAGGACAGCGGCTCACACGAGGACAGCGGCTCACACGAGGACAGCGGCTCACACGAGGACAGCGGCTCACACGAGGACAGCAGCTCAGAGGACAGCGGCTCACACGAGGGCAGCGGCTCACACGAGGGCAGCCTCTCACACAAGGGCAGCGGCTCACACGAGGACAGCAGCTTAGAGGACAGCGGCTCACACGAGGACAGCGGCTCACACGAGGGCAGCAGCTCGGAGGACAGCGGCTCACACGAGGACAGCTGAATCCGCTCTCCACTAACTCCACAAAGAACAATTCTCATCCTTAACATCCACAGCACAAAACTGACTCGTGTAAGGGCAAATATACCTCGACACTCCCGGTACTTCTACCATCCTAACACCAACCAACCCTTTCTTTTATTACTGGGTCTCTCTATCAGGCTCTCTTTGCTCTATTATTAGGTGCATTAATCTTTTGCAGAGGCCATACAGAACACACTGATTATAATCACAATTGGAGGGCTTAGTAGGGAGAGAACCGGTTACAATTTAGACTGGAAACATCATACAGGTTTGTTTGGTTTTTATCAGGAAAGCGGCTCAGGTGTGCTCATGGACTCTCTGACATTCAGCCTTTTTCGGCTTTAGGTCAGTGTTACAAAGCTCTCTTCCTTCTGCCTGTCATGGCATCTCCCCTCCCTGGCCCCTAACTCCTTACGAAATTTGAGTGATGGTTTGAGCTGTACCTCTGGCTCTAGGGGGCAACGCCTCTGTCTCACATCAGTCTCTGGTCTCTGCTGCTGGTTCAGTGTCTTGATCTTCGTCTGTTTACCCCTCACAGGACTCTTTCTCCGGCCCCTCAGGCCATGCACTGCATTCTCTGCTGCTTCTTTCCTGCTGGGAGCAAGATTTCCATTCTCTGTCTCTGAGCCTCTTCAATTTAAAGCTGGTGGGATGGCCCAACTGACCGGTCCTCTCATTCAGAGTCTAGGGGTTGTGTTTTCATGTTCTCACCCAATGGGTGCTCTTCACGTCATTCATCTCATTAGCATGGTCACACCCAGTCTTGTCAGGAGCTCTGCTGCCCTAGTGGTGCAGAGCTGTGCTGCAGTCCAAAAGGCTCATGGTTCAAATCTACCTTATGTTCTACAGGAGAAGGATGGTTAGTCTCCTGCTGTGTAATTTGCTACCTTTGAAAACGTGCTGGACGGTAAGTTATAGGTTAGTTCTAACTCAACAACAACAACAATGAAGTGACAAAGTGAAAGTCAAAGCCAAGGGACTAGGAAGGCCACTGGAGCAGTAAACCTACTGTACCACAGTCTCTGTTTACTAGTACTGCTGTAACAGAAATAAGGAGCTCTCGTGGCCTAGTGGCAAGAAGCTGCACTGCAATTCTGAAGGCATGCGGTTTGAGTCCATCAGCTTCTCCATGGGAGAAAGATGGGCAATTTTTTCGCAATCCCGTGCAGTTAACTGCCTTTGAAAAACCCACCAGAGGGTCAGCTATGGGATGGTTCTGACTCAATGATGCACAAAAACAACAGCAGAAATACCACAGTGGAGATGGGGTGAGGGCTTTAAGAGGTCAATTCATTTCCTCTCTCTTTAGGAAGCTAGAATTTCCGATTCGGAGTGCTGGCTCACCCTCTGTTCTCTCAGGGAGGACCGTGACTCTTCACCTCCTCTTCCTTGGTTCCTTGGCCATCTCCAGATAGCATCGTCTTTTCCCATTTGTGCTGGGTTGCTACTATCAACACTGATCAGCTTGAAGCATGCTTGGCACTGATACGGCCTCATCAAAATAGCAAAGAAAACCCCATTCCCAAAGAAGATTGCATTCACAAGTATGTTGTTGGTGTTGTTAGGTGCTGTCAAGTATAACTCACAGTGATCTTATTTATGAACCCCATCCCGTCCTGTGCCGTCCTCAACATCTCTGATACACTTGAGCCCGTCGCTGCAATCCCTGTGCCAATCTGTCTCGTTGATAGTCTTCCTCTCTTTTACTGACCCTACACTTTCCAAGGAAAAGCTTGTTCTACCAACAGGCTCAAAATATGTGAGTCGAAGTTTCATCATCCTTGCCTAAAAGGAGCACTCTGGCTCCTTTGTTGAGCCCTATCTATTTGTTCTCCTGGCAGTCTATGGGATATTCAGTTTTCTTTTCCAACACCACAATTCTAAGGCATCAGTTCTTCTCCTGTCATCCTTATTCACTGTCCAGCACTCAGATGCACAACAAGTGACTGGAAAGACCACGGCTTCAGTCAAGTGCACTTACGTCTTCAGATTGACATCCTTCCTCTTCGGTGTTTTGGAGGGATCCCTGGCAGAATAAATGCCCAGTGCAATAGAAAGTAGAATGTACAACCTGTTTGAGAAGACACAATTCAATCCATAACCCCTGAGTCTTACAGAGTTTAAGGAAAATTTGCCAAAGCAATTGACTGGTCAGCAGTGGAGCCAGATTCAAGCCCAGGTCATCGCACTGGAAAACACTATCCTCTTTCTTTCTAGCACTTTCTCTTTGTGACTCTACTCACAAAAAAAAAATGTTAGCCACTGTTCCAGTTCTACCTCTGGAGAGATTGTGTGTGAGAACAATGTGTTGTCACCCTTCTGGAAACTACAGTTCTCCAAGAAGTATTCCGTTTGTAGTGCTATTTCAGAAGTACATGCTTTGGTTTTAGTAGACAGCAAAGCTTAGCATCTTCCGCAATCATCTATGTCATCATGAGTAAACTAAAGAGGACAGCAGTTTCCTATACTTGAAAGTTTTAAAATTCTTTTCAAAGCTATAATTGTTTTCCATTGTGTTGAATAAAATGTTTAAGCTCATCTGTTCTTCTTTCTCTTTTTTTCTCAAAAAGGTATGGCAGAATAGTGATTTACTTAATATCCTGCTTTGGCGTTGGCCTCACTGGTGTAGTGGTGGCATTTGCGCCCAATTTCCCAGTGTTTGTCATCTTCCGCTTCCTACAAGGTGTGTTTGGAAAGGGAACGTGGATGACGTGCTATGTGATTGGTAAGATACCTTCTTCTCTGTTTGAGAACTGGGGGAGATGGGGGAGAAGTACCTGGGTTATCAGCATCTAACGATTTCATTCCAACCATAGTGGTTCTTTCTGCCCATAAGAGAGCACAGAGGTGGGAACTGAGTTGTTTTCAAAACTGCAATGTGGTCTTACCTTGAGCATCTATACGGAACAGGGCGTTGATGCTGCCTCCCAGCACTGTTATCACAATCTTCCTTATTTTGCCTATTAGAAAGGAATTATTATAAAAATGTTAGTAGCTTTTTAGAACACTTTTTTAACTATTAAATTTTATTAATTTTAATGAACATTTACAGAGATTTTGGGTTTTCATTC